ACCCTAAAAACTGTGTATCTGTAAGAGTGTATTGGCATTTATTCAGGTCGAGAGTTTCGGCGACTTGCTGATCGTTCACTAAGCTTGGGCAAGTTCATTCACTTTGTACATGCAACAATTCATTGCATTGTGTGTTATGTGATAACTGCTGCCCAGCTGCTGTGAAGCAATATTAGAAACGCAAGGCCAAAACATAACTATAATGTCCAAGAATACATCGAGGACAAGGATGACTCTTGCTCTGCACTTGCAAGCTGATTTTATACCTAAATAAGTTTGTATAATTGCATAACAAAAAAAAATAACAAATAGAACAAGACAGTAGAGTTTCTTGCCGTTTCTTTCCTGTTCAGGTCTAGTTTAGTGAACCGTAGATAGATTTTGTGTTGACGTTCAATAAGAGCTTAAGTTAAGCCTATATTGAATAAAGATACTTTGTCTTGACTTGACTTGATAACAAACGTACGAGGGAGAACAGCGCATAGTCAGGAGCAGAATAATTGCGACGGCATTGGCTTTGAATCATTTACTGCCACCGGGCCGGGCCTTCGTTATCCGCGGGGGCAAAATCTATTTCGCGCCATCGCGTTTCTAACTGCTGGGGCTAAACGCGTCGATGCACTGCGAATTCGGATGGCTAATTTTTATACCGTCCGAAGCGTTTCACCGCACGTATTTGTATTTATGTGACAAACGAAAGTGGTAAACGGGCTGTCTGCCCACATAATGTTAGGTAATAACCGCCGCCCATGAACATTTCATGGGCGGCGGTTATTCCCGTACGGTTGCAGATGCGTTGTCACATTTTAATAAAGCGGGCTTCGGCCACCTCGCTCACCAGACGAAACGCAGAAGTGTAACACTTCTACTTCACGCCGGTCTTCTGTGAGGTCGTGGTACTAACCCGGACGGATTTGCCCATTCGTGCAACAGCGAACACCGTTGCGCGGCGCCACGTGACGAAGTCACATTCCGCACGTCCAATTACGCAGTTCCCTTAGCTATAAACGCAGTTAGTTAGCTTCTTGGCCAATGTTCAATCCTGCGTTAAACAATTTCTTGATTAATGTACACAATACCCTTGGGTCCCCCAACGATAAACTCGAAGACACAAAACGTAAAAGTATAATTATATATGTTTTATGAAGCCAGAACAAGCGGCCTGCCCGCTGATGACTTGGCCCATGATGAGGATGGATCTTTGGTTTTGTTCTTAAGAATACGTACGGTCATCGAGAATACAATACAATTACTATACAATTTAGCGCTCCGTGGGGTATACCAGTGACTAATATTATTCTTAAAGAACCAGCTTGTCTAAAATCCGAATAATCATATCTCAATTACATCAGTCAATGGTAGAAGTTAAACCAACCTGCCGGTGTTTTTATTGCCATCAAAACTAAACGCCGATGAAAAAACGCTTCTAGAGAAATCTATTATGCAGTATACTAATCCACCTTGGACATAACACTTATAGACAGAAAAGGCAAATCATTAGTGCATTACCGATCAAAGGGAGGCTAATACACCATGCATTTGAAACGGCTGCAACGGTTACCACGTCAGGTGTATGCCTTGCCCGGTAGCCATCAATTAGTGCATCAACCATCTATTGTCCATTCAATTATTAGTAGACATCGAAAGACACGTCGGTGACTGTCATGGCTTGAATTGACAGCGGGCAGCTGTTAAATACAGGGAGATTCACAACATGACGAAAGAATGGCCTGATTAATAAATTAATTAATGCGTCTTTTAGTTGAGAATGAAGTATAAAAGGAATACTCGTTCGTTATTTCTTTAAATGATCTATTTTCAAATAAATATTTGTCTACACTGGTTAAAATTAGTTAAGAACCGTGAACCGTGACCAGTCACCAGATAGTAACAATTTATTAATACTATCATAACTAACAAAATAACAAAATAATTATTTGTTGTGTAATTGTGTGTTTGAGTTTGAATTCGACAAAGAATTAAGGAAGTTATGGAGTAATGACAAAAACCGTTGCGGTATAGTAAAATATAAGATTATTATCTACACTGCATATAGGAACTTTGATTAAGCGTTTGTTTTTACTTTACGTATAAATAAATTTAACTGTTAATTATTAGAGGACGTCCAACTGTTTGCGTCTACAAAGGCGTGAATTATAACTATGCATTTAAACAACATTGCGTTAAAATCTATAAATTAGATAGCACCTATTGTATAACGATTTTTGTTTTTAGTTGAAATATATCACGCAAAAACTTTAATATCTTTAATGGGACATTCGTAAACCGTTTCGACAATCTACTAATCAGTAGTTAAACATGATAAAATAATTTCGTTCTTCGGCCTATGCTGATAGGAAGGCTTATAGTAGGCAAACATTGTTTATTCCCTTAGCGGATCTCCCAGTGCTCTCAGTATTGTTTTACGAGTTAGAGTGCAATATTAAAGGGAGAGATTTAAAGTATAATAACAATCGTGGAGCACGTGTTGAATCAGCACTTAAAATAGCAATCGAACGTTTCAACGCTACGGCCACCTGTAGAAGTTACCTCGTTAAATGTAACGAACGTAACAACACTCGCTTACGTGTTTCCAAGGGCTCGTAATGCTTAAACACGGCATGCCTCAGCGCTTGCATTGCTAGATGCAACGTTGTAATATTAGCAGCGTGTCTTCGTAGTACGCGCGACCTTCGCACACAAACGCTGGACCGGCTCGCGGCTCGTAGGAACGACAATGTCCAAATATATCCCGGTCGTATTTACGTTACGCCACGCCCCGACATTTCGAGTTTAGAACGAAAATAACTCGATTAATTCTAAAGTCCGATATCGCGGTGCGCTCACGTAGCTCGGAGTGACGGTCCAACTTGGCGTGTTTTTTTATTACGTCAATATTGTACCCTACAGATACAATTACAGGTAAAATCTCTAAACTCGTAGAAGCTTTAATCGCTCTATATTGTTTGACTTCGTATTGTGTTCGGTCGCACAACACGATAGAATAAACTTAAGCTCTTTTGTTTAAATGTGCTGAACAAGTTTTGCGTCTTGTTTTTTTTTCACATTTTTTTAAAACATACTTTTTTAATAATAACTTTCTTATTGCCCTGAAACCTTTTATGGATTTTGAAATCGTTTAAATAGAAAGAAATTAAAAATGTACACTGTCTTGAATCAAAAAGCGCATGCTTTTTCTATATTCTCAAGACTTGCCCCTTAAATTTAAAACCCCCCTTTACATTATACATAATTATAAACCTTCCCCTTGAATCACTCTACCTAATAATAAAAAAAACTGCATCAAAATCCGTTGCGTACTTTGAAAGTTCTAAGCATACATAGGGACAGACAGACAGCGGGACGACTTTGTTTTATACTATGTAGTGATGATGTATAGACGAATAGTCTCTCTTACAATGTTATGAAAAAGTTCAATTTTTTTTTAAACTGACATGGTGTTGAATGACAAAATACATTCGGCAGTATACAGCACGTAGTGACGTATGCAAGTATCTACTGGAGGAATTGTGCATTAGAATTAATAGATCAAATTAATCGAAGTCTGGAGGGAGACGCTGGTGTAATATAAAATTCGTAGAATACAATAAGGCGCTTAAAGTATCTCAGTTTATTACCAAAGCAATGAATCCTTCTTCCCATTTTCCTCCACGAACGCCACGGACAACATCTTGTAACCTAAATTATAAATTTGATATTTAATTTCCCAACCTTTTACCAGTCTGATCTTTGCCGAGCGTATCGAGGTGCGGGCCATTTGCAATTTGGTTCGAGCTTAATTTTACGTGGAAAGTTTTTTAATATCCGCCGACAAAAAATTTTAACCGTGACAGATTGAATTTGAAAGTATTTTGCGAGTTGACTTTGATAGATTTTTGACATACCACTCAATCGGCGATTTTATTATGGGCGCAAAAAGTTGCTCTAAATATGAAAGAACAGCTAAGTGAAGATCCAAATTCAAATAGGTACTTTTATTTCAAGGTCACGAGCGAGTTTTTGATCTTTTTAATAAAGACATTTAATTTTGTTATTATATTTTTTGTACAAAGTGTAGTGACCACGAAGTTGTGTATTAAAAGTGGAATAATTAATTTCTTTTACTTTACGTTAACTATTTTAGTTTCAAATTGTTTTGAAGATCTCGCTTGAGCTTGCTTTTGAGCTATAGTCTGGTATTATGGAAAAAATTGCTAGTTGTATTGTTACAGCATTTTTTAATATTTGTATATTAAAAAATTCTATTTTATCATCGGTAAATAAAATATATTACCTCAAGCGTCATCGTGACGGACAACTCACAAACTTTTTCTCCGGCCTTTGAGTAATACGAACAAAAGTAGAAAAGTGAAACGAATAAAAAATATTGGAAAATATTTTTTTACAAAGTTTGGTAGATACAAATAGCCAATAGAACTCAAGAGATAAACTTACGATACTCAAGAGTTAAATATTGATAGATTCGTTCGAAGAATTGAAACTACAATAAATAAAATGTCAAATAAGTATCGAGCACAAGGAATATTCATAAAACGGAACAGTTGATGTTTAGACATTTTCTTATATTTAAATAAGTTAATATTGTAAATTGTGGAAGGCTGTTCGCTGTATAAGTTTACTTTTTGTCTAGAAATTATGCTTTTTATTCCATTACGAACCATCTAGTCAAGATTGTGGGTAGAGCTAGTCAATGATATGTAAACATCTTGACAAGTGAGTGGTGGCTTTGCGGTGCAGTTTTTAAGTTTGGGCTATTTGGCTGCGGTCGAGGGGGTCGCCTATTCGATTCACACAGAAATCCGAGTATGTGAGTGAGGCACATTTCAGTGATTCGCATCTGGACGATGGTTCTGCCTTTCGTAAAAAAAACTTAGCCAATAGCAACTTGGTTCACATGCTGTGCGGACCTCTCGCAGATAGTGCGGAAAGAAGCAGGGTGCTCGAGACGCCAAATCCTGTTCGGTTCAACTGTGTTTCTAACGTACCTTGAACTGGCTGAGGTACTCCTGTTGTCGAGTGATGTCCGTGGCGAGGATGAGCGAGGAGATCTGGTGTTCCAGCTTAGCACTGATGTCCTTCAGCTGTTCCAGAACTCCGCTCTCAATGAGGCAGCTGATCGCCGAGCGCCAGTGGTGGTTCTCCAGCACCGACGTGTTCTGTGCGAAAGGCGACAAAGTAAATGAGCTAAGTTACGTTTATACGGATGAGGGCGATATGGTTGGCTGGCGTTCGGACGCTGACGCTGCACATGTACTAGCTATTTCGAATATTGTGGTCGCACGTCCAAAACCCAGTGACGCGGGATGAATTTCAGTTGCTCCTTTAGAGAAGATTGTAAAACCTTCATTTTAAAAAATTTCATTGACTGTTTTTAATAATTAAAAATGTAAGGGGTATCTTTTCCGTAATAAAAATATAATAGAAACCATGTACTGTTTAATTAAAACCGCAGTTGAAACGCAAATTTACCTTCACCTTTCTCATTGCGATTGTTCTAAATTCCACAGAATTTCTATTTGCGATCCAACTTACAGTTGTGTTATATTTTTAACACACGCCCACTAAAGACGTAATTAATTAACTTTGACGTCTTATTCGTGTCAAGGTGAGAGTTTGCCCTTTATACGTATGCTGCCGTTTGAAGTTGCATTGGCTATCACTCATTGAAACTTATTAGGCGTATTACAACTCGGCAGCAAATCATAGATATGGACCGTTGCCAGAATGTTATTTTATTTTTGCTTACACGTATCGCGTTATTTTTATTTAAAGGTAAATTTGTTTGAAATTAGATTTCATACGTCGATCTTCAGCTAAAATAAAATTTTATTTTTTATAATCCATCATTAATTTTAAAAAGTACAATAACAAATACTGTCATCCCGAGACAATGACATGGGTTTGTTTATTATTGAAAAACAGTGAAAGCCATCATGTTGGTTTTAAAAATAATGCGATTTAAAGTCGTTATATTCTTGACTGCAACTCGTTCGTTAACCTCTAACATAAACACTAAATAAGCGACAAGCTGGATTCTTTCATGTGTGTTATTTCTTAAACCAATTAACAGTACGAGTAATGTTACGTAAAACCTCATAAAATGTTGCTATAAAGGTAGCGTTTTTGTTATGTTGGTAGATGGTACAACATATCTTTAAATCATTTTGCAGATTTTATATTTGCTCGGAGTCCGGTCGAGACGCTGTGAATTTAAACTCCTAAACTGAGCTTTGCTAAACCGAGCTCGACCAAATGATACGTGAAACGGTTTTGTTTATCAACGCTTTTGTTAAGTTCTAATAGTCCGTTCCCACGTAAGCTATCGGAAGAGACTTAGATCGACTTCCGAAGTAGTGTACGGGCGTGGCGTTTCACCAAAAGGTAAACGTCGAAGTTATAAACTATCCAGCAAGCTCGTTACCGGGTAGCAGACGTTGTGTATGCGCTGCTAATAACGAACCTATGGAAAATATTCCAGCGCTGTATCAGCGTATAATTAAAACCTATTCCATAGTTTAATACGCTAGACTTCGATTGCCTTTGAAGTTTTCCGTCGAGTGCAGTATCGTGAAATTAATGATCAGCTCTGATCGGGTTTAATTACTTATGCTTTAATAAAATAACGTAGAAAGTAATTTCCGATGAGGGTAAGGGGTTTTTACATGTTTTCACATTTTTATATCTAGTTTAGATGTAGTCCAAAAACTATTATTATTTAATTGAAACAGTTTCAGAAACTAGATGGTATTTTGTCCGAGACATAATTTTTTTGGTGATAGCCTCTAGTTTTGATGGTTAACTAGCTTTTCGGCTGCGGCTTCACTCGCGTTGAAGACCTTAAATAAACATCATTCAAACCAAAGTTGTAAAACTTTTTTTTCCAATTAAAAAATAGTCTATGTCCTTTCTCAGGGTTTCTCCGACTATCTGTGTAGCAAATTTCATTTAAATCGGTTCATTAGTTTTGGAGTGAAAGCGAGACAGACAGGAAGACAGACTTACTTTCGCATTTATAATATTAGTATGGATTAATGATACATTCTCAATCACCAATCGGCCTTAGTGTAAAATATCTAACTGAAGAAGTGATTTTTAAGTGTGGAAAAAAACCTTTTGGATATTATTTCTGTTGCAAATGGTTATGTTGCATTTATGTTTCTTATTTTTTCATCTTATTTATTTAAAATAATCCTTGGCAGCCATAAGCGATGTCATAGATCTATACACAGTGCCAATTATTAATAAATTGTTAAAGAATGGGAAATAATGTTTTACGAGTTGGAGGATATGTCTGAGGCAAATATTACACATATAATGTGTACTTGTTGGAACGAAGTACGTTATTGCACAATACGTATTTGGGGGATGAGGTCCAGGCGAAACAAATGTAAGAATTTTCCCGTCACGACCGAAGCGTCACGAAAATAACACGGCAAAGAATAACATGCTTTAGATTAGACATTCACTTATAATTCCAAGTTATTTAGTTAAACCGTTACACATGAATTTCATTTAAAGTATTTTTAGCAAACTAAGAATATTCGTTACGATCGAATGTTTCACGACACTCACGCATTTCCTTTACTAAACTTTGCTAAGAAAGCATTATCGTAATCAGTTTTGAGTAACTCGTATCACCCTTGAAGTCAACTTTTTTTAGTCTAATTTTAGCAGTTGTTGTTAAGTTCATCGGCTATTTTACAGTCATAAAACAAAATCAGTGAACCGTCAAAGGCATAGTAGGGATCTAAAGGGAGGGGTGTGAGACCGATTTTTTTTTAAATCTAACAATTTTTTGACTTTGGCAAAGTATACTGCATTATATTCAATAAATTAATAAAATACATAATTGTATGTGGGCCAATAATTTTGCATCTGAAGTGTAAACATTTTTATGTATTTCGTTTCAACAATATAGTTATGATGGAATGATATGCAATAAAAAACGTTAAAAACAAAAAACATAGATGTGCACAAGAAGAGCGTGTGTTGGCAACACTTAAAGAAGTGTCATTTTATGTGGTATAAATGAAGCTGCACAAAGCATTTCATGGTATTCTTCTTTGGCGGTCAACAAGAAGTATACGCGATAGTGATCGTTAGGGTTGTGGTTTTTTAATCTAAAAGTGATAAAATAAGTAATTATACCAGTGTTATTGTTGTGCAAAGTGAAACTACGGTGATTTAGAAAAAGTATTTATGTCTACCTTCTTAGCTCGATAAAACAAAGTACAGCTAACACGTGGTACTATATCACAACTATATCACATCGATACCGATAATGTGGGAGAAAGCGAATTTACTGCTGACGTACTTTCAAATTAATTTTTAAGATATCCGAGTTTTAACGAAGGCCGCGCCTCAGAGGAGTCCTTCAGAATCGCACACCCAACAACACGTGAAAAGTCACGAGGCGATAAGTTTGGTTGAGGGAAAGGCATTCAATGTCGAAAAGGCGGGCTTTAACGCTCGAGCACGCACGAATCGCCGGCGGCCCAGACGGACGCTAACGACCAAAACTGTCGCTCTTTTTAACCGACCACAAAAGGAGGAGATATTACGTCCCATTGTCGCGGGGACGCTTTGACGCGCGGCGTTGACGCTCGTTTCTATTCTGAATATTTCTTTTCTTTGTATGTGTGCGAACGGACTGGTGTTTCTCTACAGGGGACTGCCTAGCGCTTCTCTGCTATCCCACCGCATGGTAAGTGGCGATCCAGTTATAGATGGTCGGGCTCAGCGAAAGCCTTTTAAACTTTCCTTCAAGACATCGTCAGCCTTTGATTGACCATTGCTGGACGTAGGCCTGTTGTACTAAATACCGTACGGATCGACCTCGCACCCTTAAGGTCCAGTCAAGCCCACCTGGGATCCTACTTTATGTTTACCTAAACGGTGTGCAAGAACTGGACTGTTGGTTCTGCGAGGAATGTGACCAGCCATTGAAACGTCAGCTTGCTTTTCTTGAGTGCTTGGTCGATGACTTTGGTTCGTATTACCTATGTCCTTTAGATTAACTCCGAGTACTTTCTCTCTCTAAGGCTTACCGAGCGACTTTTAGCCTGTGGACTAATCCACGGTACAGGTTGCACGCACTGATGGCCTATAAAATTGAATATAAAGTGGGAAGTCACCACTTTATATTCAGAAGGACAGATGCATATAACGCTGGGCTAGACTTTTTTCTTTATCCAGAAGAGGTAAAATTATGTTTTTACACATAGCGAACATGATTGAATATCAAATTCTGTTAATGCAATTTCCACAAAACAGAACGCCCGTGTTAAAAACAAAATACGAATGCTGCAAAAATAACACACGCTGCCTACCGTCCGTCGTTTGGGACGGGACACAAAACGGTTTGCAATTAAAAACGGAGTCTCATTATAACATTACGTCTATCTGCATCCAACACATGTATTTACATTCAGAAGCTAACGAGGTTCGTAACACAATGGTCCTCCGCGGTCGCTTAATTCAAAAAGGCTCTCGGAGAGTTCCGAGCAGCGGTACTCAACTAAGCACCTCAAGTTGCGGAAACCAGCTAATGTGGTCGTTGTTAATAGAGAAGCATTTCAAACAATACAGAGCATTTACTTCGGAATTAGGTGAAGGGTTTACAGGTTTTACATACAGCTGCAATTAGTGTTGAAACATTTGAAGCGGAATTGAATCAAGCGTGCATTGTTATTGTTGACGTTTCCTTCTTCTTGTACTTTAAGCTGTTAATTTAGTTAAGTAGTTAATTTACAGCGTAACATTTACAGGCCCTCTGCCCTTTACTGTTATTGTTATGTAAACATAAAATTGTTACTTCCTTGCATTTTTTGTTGTAATATTTGTAAACCTTGTGAAGTAACATATCGTACGTAATTTTTGGATGAATCAAATAAAAATACACTTTAAAGTTCGAACTCGTTCCGTGTGTTGTTCAAAAGAATATTCAAAATATAAGAGAAATGATATAGTTTGAAAAAGTACATAGTTGAGTTTGATACTCAGAGAGAAAGCAACTTAAGGGCCATTGCCAATCTGATTGTTGTGGGTTTTTAGAAGAACTGCATGAAGTGTACAGTTTTGCTAACTTCTTGTGAGTGATATAATTATGGTTATCTCACTAGATTTATTACAACTTTTGCAACGCATCTGCGTAAAT